TTCAAAGCCAGCCCGGGCAGGAGAGACCATGAGACTCCTATCTCCAATAAACCACCAGAAAACCGGAAGTGGCGCTGTAGCTCAAGTGGTAGAGCGCTCACCTTGAGCTGAAGAGCTGAGGGACAGCACTCAGGCCCAGAGTTCAAGCTCCACAACCGACAAAAAAATAAAAATAAAAAATAAAGTACTTAGCATAGTGTAGCATGGCCCGTAATGGACGCTCAATAAATGAAAGCAACATTCACTGGTGTGTGTGTGTGTGTGTGTACATTCACTGGTGTGTGTGTGTGTGTGTGTGTGTGTGTGTGTCTTGGAGCTTGAACTCTGGGCCTGTAGGCCTGGGTGCTGTCCCTGCGTTTTTTTGCTCAAGAAAGCAACATTCACTGGTGTGTGTGTGTGTGTGTGTGTGTGTGTGTGTGTGTGTGTGTGTCAGTCTTGGAGCTTGAACTCTGGGCCTGGTGTGTGTGTGTGTTTGTGTGTGTTTGTGTGTGTGTGTGTGTGTGTCAGTCTTGGAGCTTGAACTCTGGGCCTGGGTGCTGTCCCTGCGTTTTTTTGCTCAATGCTAATTCTCTACCTTGAGGCAACAGCACCATTTCTGGCTTTTTAGAGGTAAGAGTCTCATGCATTTTTTTTTTTTTTTTGCCTAGGCTGGCTCTCAACCTTGATCCTGAGATCTCAGCCTCCTAAGTAGCTAGAGTTACAGGTGTGAGCCAACAGCACCTAGCACAGGCTGATTGTGAACCTTGATTCTCAGATCTCAGACTCCTGAACAGCTAGGTATGAGCCACTAGTGCTCAGCTCATTACCATAATGTAGTGGATGTTCAATAAATGCCTTTCTTGCCAATTTCCGTAAATTCCTGTTCATCTCTTCCAGAACAATGTTAGGATTCTAGTTACAAACTGAAGGTCAGAAACAATTGTTTGCTTTTTGTCAGTTAGGAAATCAGAGGGAAAGAGCAAGTTCAACCCCGGAAAGTCATTGGGGCTGGGTAAAGCACTCAGGAGGTTCTGGGGAATGATATGGGAAATGGCAATATATTGGTTGTAATTTATAATCACTTGATAACTGAGAGGATGCAACAGAAGGCTCCTGGCCCACACAGGGTCAGTCAGTAGCTGACTTCTGACTCTTTTTTTATTTTGTATTTTATTTTATTATTATTATTTATTTTTTGTCAGTCATGGGCCCTGGGTACTGTCCCTGAGATATTTTTGCTCCAGGCTAGCACTCTACTACTTTGAGCAATAACTCCACTTCTGGTTTTCTGGTGATTAATTGGAAATGAGTCTCATGGAGTTTCCTGCAGGCACTGGCTTCAAGCCATGATCCTTGGATCTCAGCTTCTTGAGTAACTAGGATTGCAGGCATGAGCCACCAGTGCCCAGCCTGCGTTGGTGGCTTTCTTGATGGTTCTAATGAGCTTTTCCTGGGTTAGCTCCTTCTTTGCTCCCCTTTCAGCAGTTTTGTGCTAGCTCCTAGTTTAGGGTGAAGGACAACTGGGATTATGAGGCCCCTCCGTTTCACATCAGAAAGTTCTTGATGCTCCCTTTTCCTTGCAGAGTGGTGAAGGAGGAAATCTCAGATGACAATGCCAAGCTACCCTGCTTCAATGGCCGGGTGGTGTCTTGGGTAAGGAGCCCTCACCCTCCATCCACCTGTATCCCTATGCTGGCTAGAGGGAGGAAGGCATTGGTGAGATTGGTGCTGGTAATCTCCAACAAGCTTCATTGTTTGATTCTTCCTTCAGTGTTCTAATGGATTGCTAAGTCAGTTATCATTTCTGTTTCTCACCTCAGATTCTTCAGCCTTTAATGAAAAATGGGAGAGTGGTGGGATGGGGGAAAGGAGGAGACAGAAACACATGGTAGAGATAAAAATGTCTCTTATACCCAAGGAGACATCTGCTGTTACCTGGTGAACTCTGCCTGATACTATGGACCTTTGGTCTCTGCCCCCATTCCACCTCACCCAACCATGCCTGCCACCCCCTACCCTCAATCTGGGCAGCTGCCCTCACATAGCCCTTGCTTCTCCCTGCTTCATTCTCCTGGCTTTGTGTCCTACTACAAGCCATGAAGCCCATTCTCTTTGGTGTTTCCATGATCGAAGTACCCACTCATTTCTCCCCATCAGCTGGTGTCAGCTGAGGGCTCCCACCCAGATCCAGCCCCTTTCTGTGCTGACAACCCATCAGAGCTGCCACCACCAATGGAGCGCACAGGAGGCATTGGGGACTCTCGGCCCCCATCCTTTCAGTAAGTGTGATCCCATAGTGGGAAGGGCCTAAGAGGGAGGGCTGTGTCAGCGCAGCCCTGGGCTGGAGGAGGGAGCCCCAGCCTGTCTCCTGCTACCAAGTCTTCTCTTCCCTGCAGCCCTCATGCTGGTGGGGGCAGCCAGGAGAACCTGGACAATGACACAGAGACGGACTCCTTGGTGTCTGCCCAGCGAGAGCGGCCACGCAGGAGGGATGGCCCAGAACACGGTGTGACTCTCCACCCCTACCCCTTCCCACAGCTTCCAGTCAGCTCCCCACCTTTTTGCCCTACTTCCTAAGTTCTGGCTTGGCCTGTCTCTCTCTCCTCCCTTCTCCCCAGCACTGGGCCCTGTGTGAACCCAGCTGCCTCCCTCCCCTACAGCAACCAGGCTAAATGGAACTGCCAAGGGAGAGCGGCGGCGAGAGCCAGGCGGCTATGATAGCTCATCCACCCTTATGAGCAGTGAGCTAGAGACCACCAGCTTCTTCGACTCAGATGAAGATGACTCCACCAGCAGGTGGGTATGGGGTCAGGAAACCCTCAGGAGCCCTGAATTCTGAGGATATTGCACCTCTGGGAGGGCTGTGGGCGTTGTGCTGTGGATCTGGGCTCTGCTGTGCCTCTCTTGGAGTAGGGTTGGGCCAGCCTGGTGGGAAACGACTGTGGGCCCCACAGGTTCAGCAGCTCCACAGAGCAGAGCAGTGCCTCTCGCCTGATGAGAAGACACAAGCGGCGGCGGCGGAAGCAGAAGGTCTCACGGATTGAGCGGGTATGGGGCCTTGGATGCTTGTTTAGGGTGGGTGGGGACTGGGCCACGGCTTGCTCTTCCTCAGAGCTCTTCCACATTTGTTTCAGTGTTTAGAACCTTAGTGGGTGAGGGAGGTGTTCTGAGGAGGAACCAGGTGGGAGCAATGAGCTCCCACCACCTCTACCTGCACTGCTCAGGACCTATGTCTCTTCCAGTCCTCATCCTTCAGCAGCATCACAGATTCTACCATGTCTCTCAACATCATCACCGTTACTCTCAATATGGGTGAGTCTGAATGGAAAAAGACACTCATGAGCACCTCCTGTATGATACTGGACAGGCATGAGAGGTTCAGAGAAGCACAGATATGTTCTCTGGGGCCTGGGATATAGCTAAATTGTAGAGCGCAGGGGTCCTGGGTTTCATCCCCAGAACTGTAACTGTGGGGAATGGAAAAGGGAGAAAGTATGCTCCCTATCCTCAAAGAGCTCTTTTACAAATATTGACTGCTATAGAAACTGATCATTTCAGTATCTCATGGTCAGGGCTATAACAGATGAGCAGAGAGAACTGTAGAAGCAGAAAATGGCACCTCAGAGGACTTCTTAGAGGAACTGATTCCTGAGTATCTTGCCCCTTCTCATATTTAGCTGTTGGATCCTTGCTCTCTGATTTGTGCCCTAGGAACTCTTTTGCCAATAGCTGCATATAAAAAGAGCCCACTTGGAAAACTGAAATCTGAACTTGAATTCTGACTCTGCCATTTACTCACTGGCTTAGAAAAGTCACTTAAATTCACTAACCTTCAGTTGTCTATTCTGTAAAATGAGACTATAGAGTCTCCACCTCACAGCCAGAAGGGATTAAATAACAGCATGTTTAAATACACTATACACATAGTAAAGGTTCAGTAAATATCAATCCTTATCTCTTTCCACCTTTGCTAATAAGGGGCTGGGAATTTGGGTAGAAACCTTGCCCCTCTCAAGGTGTTGAATTACTTCCTGTAGAAAAGTACAACTTCTTGGGCATCTCCATTGTGGGCCAAAGCAACGAGCGTGGTGACGGAGGCATCTACATTGGTTCCATCATGAAGGGTGGGGCTGTGGCTGCTGATGGACGCATCGAACCAGGAGATATGCTGTTACAGGTAGTATCATTGCCTGGCCTGAGCAGTGGTATGGCTAGGCAGTGGGGAGGAATCCTTGCCCTCTGGAGGAAGACCTCCTGACCCCCACACCTAGCTCCCCTATTTCTCCATAGGACGGCCTATTATCCCTCTCCTGTCCTCTTTCCCAGGTAAATGAGATCAACTTTGAGAACATGAGTAATGACGATGCCGTCCGGGTACTGCGTGAGATTGTGCACAAACCAGGGTATGGATGGAATGAGACACTGGGGAAATGGGACAGGTACTTCTGTCTTTCAGGCCAGGGACTTGATCTGACCTTTGTACATCCTGTGCTCACTTGTTTTCAGGCCCATCACTCTGACTGTAGCTAAATGCTGGGATCCAAGTCCACGTGGTTGCTTCACATTGCCCAGGAGTAAGTAGATATGAGGCTCCTTCTGAAAGTAATGCTTGGTACATGAGAGCCCTGACTTTCCTTTCTTCTGTGTTGCCCTTTACCCCCACACTTTCCTCTTAGGCACCATAGTAGGCAGGGTGAGTATCTACGTCTCCTCATCCTCCCTGTAGGTGAGCCCATCCGACCCATTGACCCTGCGGCCTGGGTCTCCCATACTGCAGCCATGACCGGTACCTTCCCTGCCTACGGCATGAGCCCCTCCCTGAGCACCATCACCTCGACCAGCTCCTCCATCACCAGCTCCATCCCTGACACAGAGCGTGAGTGTCTAAGCCTGTCTCCTGGACCTAGCAGACAGGGCCAAGTGGGAGGAACTGACAGGGGCTCACTGGAGCATCAGGAAGGGCTGGAGAGGGGACTCTATTCATTCCAGCTCCCTCACACTGCAGCTTTCCCCAGTAGGCACTCTGATCCTCACTAAACATTGCCTGCTTCTGAACTTATATACAGAGTACCCAAGAGCCTGTTTCTTTTTATTTTTCTTTTCTTTTTTTTTTTGTTGGTCATGGGGCTTGAACTCTGGGCTTGGGCGCTGTCCTTGTGCTCTTCAGCTCAAGGCGAGCGCTCTACTGCTTGAGCCACAGCACCACTTCCGGTTTTCTAACGGTTTATTGGAGATGAGAGTCTCACGAAATTTCCTGCCCGGGCTGGCTTTGAACCTCAATCCTCAGATCTCAGCCTCCTGAGTAGCTAGGATTACAGGCATGAGCCACTGGCACCTGGCTAAGAGCCTGTTTCTTATACTGTCAATATATACATTACCAGGTTCCTCTGAGTTTAATAAGAGTCTATAAGTGGGGCATCATCAGTATGTAACATGAAATAAGTTCTGCCATTTTTGTTATCATAACATGCACATCTACACTATGCTAAGCACATGCATTTTCCTCATATATCCTTGTAAGGTAGATATTAAAATAGCAATTTTTACAGAAGGGAAAACTTGAGTGTTTCAGAAGTTAGTAATTTGTCCAGCATTGGTCCTATAATTATTGAATGATAATAGTGGAATGCATCTAACTCTAAACCTCTTTCTGCCTCATGTTTTGCCTTCATTCTCCAGGCCTAGATGACTTTCACCTGTCCATCCACAGTGACATGGCTGCCATCGTTAAAGCCATGGCCTCCCCTGAATCAGGGTTGGAGGTTCGAGACCGCATGTGGCTCAAGATTACCATTCCCAATGCTTTCATTGGTGAGAGGGCCCCATTATAGGATGAAGGACGGGTGGGAAGTGATGGGGCAGAGACAGGGTAAAGGGATCCAAGAACTCCCTTGGGCTACTCCTTTGAGTTGGAACTTGCCCCAGTCTCATAGCTTCTATGAGGCCGGGTGAACCCAGGTGGGCCTCTCAGTCAACTAGCAGCCTTATCCCCAGGCTCAGATGTGGTGGACTGGCTGTACCACAACGTGGAAGGCTTCACTGACCGGCGGGAAGCCCGCAAGTATGCCAGCAATCTGCTGAAAGCTGGGTTCATCCGCCACACTGTCAACAAGATCACCTTCTCTGAGCAGTGCTACTACATCTTCGGCGACCTCTGTGGCAGTATGTGCCTCTCTTCCCTTCTTGCCCTATCTCCTGCCCTGTCTCTTGGCTGGGATGGGGAGGTGTCCATGGTGTGACAGCAGATTCCAGGGAACCTGGATGGGATCCAGCAGTGCTGGGGACCTGACTTAAAGCATTAAGGTCCTATTGTGGAAAAAACCCAATCTAGCATTTTCACCAGCTCTGCAGCTTCCTGTTGGGCCTGGCATCTCCTTTGTGCTTGGCATAGTATTAGTACTTTCTAAAGAATCATCTTAAAATCTCACATACTCCCAAGGGATTCATTCCTTTTTTTTTTTTTTTTGTCGGTCGTGGGGCTTGAACTCTGGGCCTGGGTGCTGTCCCTGCACTCTTCAGCTCAAGGCAAGCACTCTACTGCTTGAGCTACAGTGCCACTTCTGGTTTTCTAGTGGTTTATTGGAGATAAGAGTCTCACAGACTTTCCTGCCTGGGCTGACTTTGAACAGTGATCCTCAGATCTCAGCCTCCTGAGTAGCTAGGATTACAGGCATGAGTCATCGGTGCTGGGATTCCTATCCATTTTCTGAAATGAGGAAACTGAGGTTTATCAGTGTGTAATAGTTACTCTACATCTCTACTAGAAGCAGAGGAGTTAGGCCTTGGATCCAGGTCTTCTGGCTTTAGCAGTCTTGCTCTTCCCACTGTCTAGTCTGGTGGGTGCCACAGTAACAACAGAAGAACTTGCCTCTGGTCCATGAGCCAAGCATCTTCCACCAGGGCAGGATGTTGAAGTTGGCAAGACACTTCCAAGTCTTCCTCAGATCTGTGAGGATAGGCTCTTCCATGATGGCCAGGTTGCAGAGGACTCTTCAAGATGCACCAAGGAATTTAGACTTGATACTGAAAGAGTACAAAGCAAGTGAAGGCAATTAAGCAGGAGATTCTGCGGAAGACAGCCCTTCTCCTTCTTAGCCTGGGATGGGACTCCTCCGAACAGAGCAACACAACACAACAAAACAAAAAGAACAGTACGGCTTATGGCTGGGAGCAGAAGTCTACTCCCAGCATCGAACTCTGCCCAAAGGGGCTTTCTCTCTGGATAATGGTGCTTTCTAGCATTCAAAGCCCAATTCTTTTTTTTTTTTTTGTCGGTCGTGGGGCTTGAACTCTGGGCCTGGGTGCTGTCCCTCAGCTCTTCAGCTCAAGGCGAGCGCTCTACCACTTGAGCTACAGCGCCACTTCCGGTTTTCTGGTGGTTTATGGAGATAGGAGTCTCACGGTCTCTCCTGCCCGGGCTGGCTTTGAACTGCGATCCTCAGATCTCAGCTTCCTGAGTAGCTAGGATTACAGGTGTGAGCCAGCAGCGCCCGGCTTCAAAGCCCAATTTGCTTTAGATTAGGTTGTAGGATCTAGAATGGTTGATCCTGCAGAGCACAGTTCCTGGTGAAGGGTGGAGTCCCTGGCCCCTAGCATGGAGTAGTGATAAACACATAGGATTTTTGAGTTTGACAGTTCCAAATTTAAGTCTCATCTGGAGAGATAAAGAAAGAATAAGCAACTCTTAGCTTCTGTTGTGCCTCTAGCTTAGGCTGCCTTCAAGATGCTCATTTCCATTCTTTGGATTCACTTTCCTTACTTGGAAAAGTGAGGAACACTTTCCTCATGACTCTAGGAGTGTGTTTCATGAAGTGGAGACATGCACTACCTAGAGGTTGTCTAGATTAGTCTTCCATACTCCCTGACCTCACACTCTGAGAAAACAGAAGAGAAAAGGGCAGAATAAGAGTTTTTGTTGTTTTTTTTCTCAGTAGGAAATCCATGGCTCACTCCTGTAATCCCAGCTACTTGGGAGGCTAAGATAAGGATTACAGGTTGAGCTAGCACAAGCAGAAAAGTTTCTGAAATCCCTTCTCAGTTGATAGTTGGGCACTGTGGGTCACAGACCTGCCATGTGGGAATCCTATTGGGAAGATGGAGAAAAATCCTCCCAGGACAGAAAAGTCCAATCCCATCTCAAGGGAAGAAGCTGGCCATGGTGGCTTACACCTGTCATTCAGGCTGAATGGATACCTAAAATAGGCATGGGTGGGAAGCAAGACCCTATCAAAAATAACCAGTATGAAAAAGTGCTGGAGGCCCTTGAGATCAAACCCTCAAACCTGCCCCCTAAAATCATTTTGCTTGCCGGGCTCCCGTTGCTCACACCTATAATCCTAGCTACTCAGGAGGCTGAGATTTGAGGATGGTGGTTCAAAGCCAGCCCAGGCAGGAAAGTCCATGAGACTCTTATCTCCCATAAACCACTCAGAAAGCCGGAAGTGGTGCTGGTGCTGTGGCTCAGCGCCCAAGCCTAGAGTTCAAGCCCCACAACACACACACACACACACAGCTCGCAGCCTGAGGAATAAGCAGAAGGTGCCTCAGACTGGATGGGGGGGAGGTTGGCTGGGGACCTGAAAGGATGGTGCTTGGGCTTGCTGAGGAAGGTCTTCCAGGGGCCTTCCGTAGAGGTGGCCATGCTGGTCTGCAAAAGGGTTGAGGTCTCCAGCCTCCTATTCAGACCAGAGCCCCTACTACCCCGGTTGCCTACCCTGTCCTGCTCTCAGGCTATAGATCTAGCTCTCCTGATCACGGAACCGACCACTCACTCTGCCTTCTCTCCACAGACATGGCCAACCTGTCCCTCCACGACCACGATGGCTCCAGCGGCGCCTCTGACCAGGACACACTGGCCCCTCTGCCGCACCCGGGAGCCGCCCCTTGGCCTATGGCTTTCCCTTACCAGTACCCGCCGCCTCCTCACCCCTACAACCCGCACCCGGGCTTCCCGGAGCTGGGCTACAGCTACGGCGGGGGCAGCGCCAGCAGTCAGCACAGCGAAGGTAAGCCTAAGGCCGGGAAGGAGAGGAGGGCGCGGCAGGCAGAGCTCCGGCCCCAGCCCTGAGCCCCGGACTCCCTCCTGCCTGTCCCCTAACAGGCAGCCGGAGCAGTGGCTCCAATCGAAGTGGCAGCGACCGGCGCAAAGAGAAGGACCCAAAGGCGGGGGACTCCAAGTCGGGGGGCAGCGGCAGCGAGTCGGACCACACCACACGCAGCAGCCTGCGGGGGCCGCGGGAGCGCGCGCCCAGCGAGCGCTCGGGGCCAGCGGCCAGCGAGCACAGCCACCGCAGCCACCACTCGCTGGCCGGCAGCCTGCGCAGCCACCACACGCACGCCAGCTACGGGCCTCCCGGAGTGCCCCCGCTCTACGGCCCCTCCATGCTGATGATGCCCCCGCCGCCCGCAGCCATGGGGCCCCCAGGAGCCCCGCCGGGCCGCGACCTGGCCTCTGTGCCCCCCGAACTGACCGCCAGCAGACAGTCCTTCCGCATGGCCATGGGAAACCCCAGTGAGTTCTTTGTGGATGTGATGTGAGCAGGGCCCTGCCCCCACCACATCCCGCCCCTCCATCCAGCCGGCCTCCGCCCTCTTCCCATCCGTCCATCTTTTTTACTTTGGTACCGTAAAGGGAAATAAATGGAACTAAATCCAGGTGCGCTAACTGCTCGCTGGGCGCAGAGAGGGCGGGGTGCAACTACGGATCTGCTCTGCAGCCCCTAACTTGCCTGTAGCCCAGCCTGTTCCCTCTACCCACTAACTGCTGTGGGGGGCTCCCCAGACTTGCTGGTGCTTTCTCCCCTCTGCTCCACCTCGCACACTTTAGGAGCTCACCCAGTGGTATCCTTGGGGGCCTGTTCACTCCCGTAGCCAGACTTTGCCCGCACAATATCCCTTCAGCTGCATTGTCCCATATTAAGCCCACTCAAGCATGCGTGCAACTCTTTTTTTGTCCCACACTACTGACACCAAAAAAAAAAAAGTTACTTCATCCTCCCTTCCTAACCATCCCCTGCCTGCTGCCTCAATCCTGCACCCTAGAGCTATAGTCACCTCCAGTAGCCATCCATGCTATCTCTATCCTGCCTGTGCTCCACCCTATCAGGAGCTCAGGGGGCCCCCTCAGGTGCCTGAACAGCCCATGACTTCTAGGGAGCATCTCTGCTCCACCCCTGCCCCTATGCCTGCCCTGTGTGCTGACTCCTTCAGAACCTAACCCTACTAACTAGCAGGCTCATCTCGCCTCTGAGCCTGAAATATTTCTTTTCTTTCTCTTTTCTTCCCCCAATTTACCCTGGGCCTGGAGCAGCCAAGAATTTCGGGCTGTTTGACTTTCTGTGAGCCCTCAGCAAAAGGCGGCCCAGCCTCTGAGGAGACCAGGAACCCTGCTTCAGCAGCCCGTCAGGGCTTCCCAAGGATGTCCAGCCCCCACACCCACACTTCAGTGTCATTAGACTGCTGGGGAAGGCCCCAGTCACCCACACATGAGAGACCCTGTTCTCCTTTCCCCAGAGAAATGTCTCTCTCATTGTCTTCCCCCAACATCTACCTTTTCTCTCTAACACACACACACACACACACACACACACACACCTATGTACACAGAGGTGCCTATGCAAGTTCACATAAAGCCTCAGGGCTGGTCCCTGCCTAGAGGGCTGGACCCTCTCTCCAAGTCCTCTCCCTAGTTAGTGGGGCAGGTCCCCTGACTTCCCTCTTCATTTCCTCATAGTCCTCAAGCACATCTCCAACATCTTTCTATCTGGATAAGCCCATAAGATGGGTCTTAGGCTGGGCTCAGCAAAAGACTCTCCAGGTGACTGACAGGCCATCTTACCTACCCCTCCCATCCTGCCCTGTTTCACTATGGCATCCTAGAATAAGGACAGTAACGCACAGGCCAGTTGAAGTTGGGCAAGAGGACTTTTAGACAAAGTTCTAGTCACTTTCTACCATTTTCTCCACCTTAAACAAATTTTGACTTTTTCTTTAAGACTGCTAAAATTGTACTGACTCATCCAGGATGAGGTATCAAGAATGAGATGGAGTTCACTGGAGGTATGGCAGCTCAAGTGGTAGGGTACCTGCTTAGCAAATGCAAAGGCCTGAGTTCAAACTCCAGTACTGCCAAAAAAAAAAAAAAAGTGAGATGAAGTCCTTAGCCCAGTTTTTGGGTAACACTAAGATAAGGGCATTTTAGTGTTCAGTAATTTAACAAATAACCCTAGGGATTTAAATGAACAAAGGGCTGTGTTGGAAATAGGACTCCGTTTTGCCTGCCTTCTAGAACCTCTGAGTTTGTGCCCCAACACAGGTCAAGATTAGCCACCACTACAGGGCTATCTCCTGTATTTCTCTCTGACTCTGCCTTGTCCTACTCTTGAGAATTTTTCCACTATGTTCATGCCTTCAGTGTTGGTGCTTCCATCATCGTATCTTTGGTCCACTTCTCTTTCTATATACCCCCAAAATGTGCCATCCATTCTGAGGTCAATTGCTGCTGATATGCTGGTGATTCCCACAGATGTAGCTCTAACCCTAACTTTCCCCAATCTTTACATCTGCATTTTTTTTCACCCACTGGACATCTCCATGGACCTGTCCATATGGACTGAAATTATGTCCCAACCAAGCGTGTTCTTGAGACCCTTTCCTGGTGACCTTCATTACAACTTACATAGGCCCACCAGCTAGAAACATTTATGGACTTAAATTCCTTCTATATCTTATTAGACAGCATATCACATCCTTTCCACTCCAATCTTCCTGGAATTTAGCCTTTTATCCTTTGTCTCTAATTTACCAGAGCATGGAATTTGGAGTTAGGTTGGTCTGGGTTTGAATTCCAGCTCTACTACTTTTGATTGTGTGATAGGAGAGTTGTTTAATCTCTCTTGAGCCTCAGTCCTCTCATGTAAAATGATGATAATAATACCTACCTCACAGGGTTGTTGTGAGGATTTAAATTAGATATTGTACGAAAAGTGCCTAGCACAGTGCCTGGCACACAATGGAGTAGGTGCTCAATAAATGGTAGCTATTATTATTATTATCACTATCATTATTTACTTTAAATTGGCAAGCATTTTGGGTATGTTTGGAATATAAATCTTTTGCAGAGTCTTGAACACTGGCTCAAGGATGAACTGTATCTATTTTTGATAACAATAATGTCAGGCTCTGACCAGAGTTTGAGGAAAGCTAGGTCATGCTATGTCCTGGCTTCTGTCAGAAGGTTGCTAGAGACAGGAAGATTCCAACTTGATTTGCCCCCCCACACACACACCTTTTTCCCCTTCCTTCATTCCTTCCTTCCATGATGGTCCTGAGACCTGCCCAGAGAAGGTAATAGGACATTTCTTCCTATGCAAAGAAGAGCCAACAAACTTTCTTCAGTTCCTGCAAGAACCTATCATGCTTTACATGTTCAAGGTTTGGCTCTGTTTTCTTCTCTGTGCTTGGATGTGAAGATTATGTCTACCAGAGAGAGGATTTTGAATCCCATGTCCAGCTAAATTCAGCTCATCTACCATTTTCTTTCTTTTTTGAATACCTACCTATCGTTTCCTAAGAAATGTTTGTGCTAGATGGCACATACAGTCACAAGTATTGATGAGATCACTGATACTTTTTTGAGAAGCTTTAATGTATTTCTCCCAAGAATTAATCTGCACGATCACTATCCTATTTCTCGGATCTTAATCTTTGGAAAAAGTGCTGATATGTGAAACCAATATAAGAAAATAGAGGTAGTGTTAAAAGCAGTAAGTTCAGAACTAGCACTTCTGCCAATCTGTGTGATAGTTCCTAAAGTGAGGCTAGCCAGACCTAGGACTCTGAAAGGCATTCAGCATTTCGAAGTTTACAACTTCAACACACTAATTCACTTTCTGAACTACGAACCCAGGGGCTGAGAGACTATACTTCCCAAAATGCTCAGTAAGGAAAGCGTAGTAGGCGGGACAATGAGTGCAGGGACGTGTATCTCGGGTACGGCGTGCTAAGGTCACGGGCTTTCAAAAGGCAGTCGGTAGTTGTAGTTTTGCTAAATCTAGGGCGCTCAGAATTGTCCGCGAAGAGGCCGCAGAGTCTTATGGGATTTGTAGTCGGCGCGAGAGGCCGGTGCGCAGGCGCAGCTGAGTCCGGGGCGGGGCCACGGCACTGCAGTGAAAGCCGAGGCAGCGGGCTGGAGAGCTGGGGGGCGGGCGGACATCTTGGGAACCGGATAGTGGCTGGGCCGGCTGAACAGTGGGCCGCGGACGCCAGGTGAGCTGGGGATGTGGCCTTACGGGGTGGGAGAGGAGGTCGCGGGTCGCCCGCCCTACCTACCGCCCAGCTTTGCTCCCTTCTGCACTGAGCTGGATAGAAAGCTGCCCACGCCCGGGAGTGGCCTCAGCCTTCAGACCCAGCGGGGAGCTGACGGCTGGGTGGGGGCGCTCTGGGCGCGGTTGCTGCATGGGCGCGGAGCGACGCCCTCCGCCTGACCCGCCGTGCGCTCTCGGGAGACGGGGACCGGCGCGGATCCTTCCCGAGCAGGGCCGCCTCGCGGCGATCCCTCTCTAGGATCGTGACAAACCTAAGACCCCGACGCCCGGCCTCGGGGAGAGACCATTCCCCTGTCTCCCGGGACCGTGACATCCCCAGGTGCCGGTTTGGGGATGGTGACAGGTCTTAGACCGCGCAGATCCCCCTCCCAGTTCGGAGATGCCCTGCGGCTCTTCTTCAGACCCGTGACAGCCCCGCACCCAAGGTTCCATCTCCTCCCAAGATGTCTCCTTCCAACCCCCACTCCGGCGAAAAGACCACCATCCCCTCATGCCTCTGCACTGAAACCACGAAGTAGGCCTCCGGCTCCCAGTGTCCCCTTATTTTCCATTGTCAGTCTCTTCCATTTTTTTCCTCTTTGCTTTGAGGAGAACCCCTTTCCTTTAGGGGCCCCCACCAGCTCTGGTTGCAGCTAGGGGCCCACCCGGCTGGCAGTTACTGCCAGGCTTTCAGCATTTTGTTCCTGTCCAATGCTCCACCTCTGGTTCTGCTGCTTTGACCTACCTTCTTGGTACCTGTGGACTTGGTCATTTGCCCGGGGTTATACCTCCATTTTACATTTCCTTTCCCAGCTTCCTTGGGACTGAGGGATGGGAATGTGTCTGCCCCCTTGAGAGATTTCTAACTGGTCTGGATGACAGTGACCCTCACAGTAAACGGCTTTATTTTCCAACTTCGGAAAGTCTGCTAAACTACACGTTGTGAAATTTTAATACTATAGCTAATCCAGGAAATCTAATGCCAAATTACCCGTTTTTTCAAACAGTCTAAGATTAGTTAATTCAGAAAATTCAGGCATTCTGACTTACTCTGTCCCCTTGTTTCTGAGCACTCAGTCCAGAAATGAGTTGTTTGTGGGCCTGGAGTCAGTTTTGGCTGGAAGGATCTATTAATTTTGTAAACTTGGACAAACACACAAACTCATTTTTACCACACTCCAGAACTCTTTGTAATAAACAGCTAGGTCATCGAAATGTAGTTTACCAGCACTGAAGCCTTTCTTGAACTCTGCACTTTTGCTTGCTTATCTGGCTGCCTGAAGAGATGTGCTGGCTTAGGCCACATTCCTGAGTCTATGTCAGGGCCTGAGGCCTTCTCTCCCCTCACCCCATCCTGCACACCCTTTCCTGGAATGTGTAGACTTCTGGAGATTCAGGCCCTTCTTAGAAGGGTAGAGAAGCCTGAGAGACTGTGTGCCCTAAAGGTTGTGCCTATGGTGCCTCAGGCTTGAGCCAGCAGGAATAATTCCTACCGCCATTCCTGGCACCCTGGGCAAGCCTTCCCAGTGACTCACTGGTTAAAGCCTGAATCTACACAGGAGGGGGCCCAAAAAGAATCCTTGCTGAGCTCAGCTCTGTGAAGGGTGGAGGCGGGGTTATTCTGTGACTCAGCCACACAAAAGGGAGATGGGTCAAAATGGCCTTAGGATCCTGAGCCCCAAGGCTCTCACATTCCTCATCCCTTCCAGTGTGGGATAAACAGGAACTGGAGCCTGGCTGAGGGGAGGAGGAGCTTGCTTAGGAGGTTCGAAGGGTAATTTGCTGGAGCTTTGAGTCAGGACAAAAAGTAAACCAGTGACCTGCAAAGCCCCACTGGGGACATTTGGCAGGGGTTCTGAAGTCTCTACTTACCCTGCCCCTGCCTGTCCTAGGTCGGTTCTCAGAGCGATGGGCGGAGGAAACTGAGCTGCCGCCATGATTGGAGGCTTATTCATCTATAATCACAAAGGGGAGGTGCTTATCTCCCGGGTCTACCGAGATGATATCGGGTGAGTCCTCTGACTGAGCCAGCTGTGCCCCTACCACCAAAGCCCCTCAGCCCTAGCATGCAGTTCAGCCTGGTTCCCATTAAGACTGGTGGCATTGGCCCAGCAGTCTGTATGCTGGCTGCCAGGCAAGACTTGCAGAATGACCTCCGAAATGATCACCCCTTACAACTTTAGGAAATCATGCCCTTCCTGTCTCCTGTGCCCCTTGGTTAATGGGCCTGGTTGCTTTTGCCTAGGTAGGTTGATTCCTCCTTGTAGGAGGAGAGCTGCCTCAGCAAATGGATTAGTGCAGGGCTGGAGGTACTGATCCATGTTAGTCAGTCTTGTTCCCAAAACCCTTCTAACATTGACAAGGCTCAGCTGGATTCACTTAAAAGCCTTTGTAGGCTGTTGAATCCTCTACTCACTCCCTTTCTCAGAAGTGAGGCTGCTGACTTAGCTCTTTTCAGTTCCTCTGGGTCATTGAAGGGCAGAGAGTCATTGATGCTCTTTCTGGTCCATCCAAGTAGACCTAGAGAGCTCCATGTCCTGGATTCAGTAAACTATATAGTCTTACTTCTCCTTGACCAACCCAGTAGACCATGGTTCTTCCCTGACATTGAAATCTATTCTAGCCTCTGCAGCTCTAATGAGATTAGGCTCCTCTAGTTTGTGCTGTTTTTCTTCTTTAAAGAGCTTAAGATAAATACTCACTGAATGGGCCTGATTGGGAGTGTCCCTAGCTCCTTGGCTCCCTGGCTGATAAGCTAGCTTGGCCTGGCCTTTGTGGCTGTTTGTCCATTGGTTGGCAATGAGGCTAAGCTAGATTTGTGACAATGCATTGCCTTCTTGAACTTGGCTGGCTCCTTCTGCCTTGGGTGGACCTGGTTAAGCCATGGCCTGGTCACACACCATTGCATGCCTTGCTGTGCTCTCCACCTCTTGCCTGACTTGTCTGCTTCTACGTCATAGTGTATGCTGCCCTCCCTGGTGTGTTGTATGTCTAACCCTCTCTCTCGTTGCTGTCACTTTCCTCTTCTTGCTGGCGTCATTTCTCTCATCCCATCTCATTGGCTGCCGTAGCAATAGGTAAGCAGCCTATCAAGCTGCCATCCAGGTACATGTGGGTGGAGGGCCCTGCCCCCCATCGTTTTTTTTATCATCCCTTTTTATTCCCTGAACTTGCCCTGAAGTTGGATCCTGGACAAGAATGGGCAGCAGAGCTCCATGGCTCCATGGTATTTCTCTCCCCATAGATTAAGGCCTTCTCTGAGGTCAAACTGACTGTGTCCAACTTGCAGAGGAGGTGGCTTGCCCACCAGTGGGCTCACTAGGCTCCCTAGGACTCTGTCTTCTGGGCTGGGATGCTAGCAAGGTATCACTAGGTTATAGCTGGGAGATTGGGGCCAGGCTTAGGGGAGTCTCTATCCTTGATGAACTTCTTTTTATTGAGATTACATCTGCCCTCTTACCGTATCATTGCTACTTGACTTCCCTATTTCCAGTGCCTTTCAGACACCAGCCTAGCACTTGGCCTCCATCAGTGTCTGCATTGGGAGCCATAAGAAGGGAACCACCCTAGTGGTTTCCAGTCAGTGTCAGATTTTAGCAGTGTGGAGGGTGGGGCTGCTGGTATCTGTGGTTGTTTCCCATCTGGTGAGGGTGCTGAGCAACCTCTGTGTACCCTTTTCTTCCCTTAGGAGGAATGCAGTGGATGCCTTTCGTGTCAATGTTATCCATGCACGGCAGCAGGTGCG